GTGGTAGACTACAAAGTCTACGAGCTACAGCAGCACCGCTACCTCCGCTGCTGCAGGACGCCACATTCTGTGATAAGTAACTCACCACCGCGATGAATTTTCTCTTGATGGAATAAACTAAAACAAAAAAAATCGAAGGACTCTGAGTAACTTACACCCAATAAGCACTGCCACGATGAGTATTCTCTTGAGATGGAATAAACTGAAAAGCAAAGAAAATTGAGGTCCTTTGTGAGAAACTACAACATCGGGAAAAACTGCCCCGAAACTTTTACTTCGATGGACCATGCATGAGATACGGAAATATCAAGACGCGAGGCTCGAGCCATACCAATCTTGATGCAGCGACGACAGCTACCCACGTACACCACTCCCATCACGCTAACTTAAATATCCATCCAATCCCCCGGCCACAAAAACATGACTTGTCAACTTCTCGTTTAACGTGCACCAATGGTAAGGTTTATGAAACACGGATTCGTAGATCACAGCCGGCCCACGCCAACACCTCCCGCAAATAGTGGAGGTTTCATGACAAGATGGACGCACCGATGCTACTCGAGATGCACTCTTCATGGGCACCTGCCATGTACCATCACCACGGCCATGGCCCCGCCCCTCGCACGCAAAACATTAAAACATTTCGTTGAGATATGCTTCAAGATCATCATCCTGGACGTAAACGCCTGCCGTCGGGTCTCCGGCACAACGAGGCTGTTTTTCTCGACGTAGTAGCGGGCGAGGAAGCGCATGATCTCCGGCTTGTGGAAGTCGGAGCTGGGGATGGTAAGGATCGCCGCCGTGCAGCGTCGCGGTCCAGTCATGAACTGGAACAAGTTGTACCATAGGCTGGGCCGGGCCGTCGTGGGGAAGAGGGAGGGTGCGCACCGATTCGGATCAGTTGTTTGTCGCTCCACATGTATGTGTGCTACACATGGTCATCAACAGCCATCATGAAGAATAAAAGTTTCTTCTAATACGAAGATCGCCATCCAAAACACGAATGGTACGGATAGAGAATATTATTGTCGCAACCATAACGGAGGTTAACTCTAATCTATCTTTTCTGTGGCAGACGCTAACGTACCCTAATACTACTGTAACTCCGGGAATGCAGGTCATTGGGATCATCGCTTACCTCTCCTGGAAGGCCCGGGCGTTGGCGGAACCAATGCCGCCGGCAGATAGCTTGATCCAGGCTTTCGACTTTCGAATGACCTTGCAGACAATTGTCTCGTGGGTGCCGATCTCGTTGACCGGAAGGGCCGCGATGTCGTTAGCTGCGTGCAGCAATGCGGGAGTGACAACCTGATGTGCAATTGAGGGCCATCAAGAGGATGAGGGGGAAGACAAAAAAGGGGGTCATCAAGAGGACAAGGGGAAAGACGAAACCAGAGCCCACAGTAAAAATGCCATGGGAAGTCCTTCAACTTGCTACCGCTCGCCCGCGCTACCGGAGGCATAAAATGTTGGCTATAGTCCTGGAATACGATGACCTGTTCGGGTTGCAGGCACATGCTAGCAGCCTGCGTCGCGTTAACAAATAAACGGGCGCTAGGTCTACAGACAAGTAGGAGTGCACGCAACAATTTCGTCACCTGTCCAAGGAAGTCTTCCTTCAGTCTCTCCGGTCCCAAGAGGTACCCCAAGGTGAGGACCTTGCGGGTGGAAGCTTGGTGCGCCTTGGTAAAGCGCCACATGATGCGGAACATCAGGCCAGTCAGTTCCTGGGAAGGCCGAGTTCACACAAATAGTAGGGAAAAAGGGTTAGTTGTGTACGGGACGTAGAAGAGCGTTGCGCGCTGACCAGAAGATTTTGGTAGGCTCGTTTTTGAGTCGTTTACCTCCGACTCGGGGTCGACGTCCATTATCCGCTCGCGGACGCCACGGAGGAGGTCCGCGCCGGTCATCGGGTTGTTCGTGGATGCCTCCTCTTCCATGAGAGGGATGAGGAATTCTGCGATGGCGTTGCGGATCTCTGCGTGTAGTTCCGACCTCGCCGAGACGACTGCTTTCACGAATATGGCTGTGGCAGTGGATGCAGAGAGAACGAAACAGCACATGGGTGCTTTGAGTCTACCTCACAACGTTCAACAGTGAAGGAAGACGAAGCGCGCCAACACGTACATACAGACGAAGGGGCGGAATGACACGAACACATAAAGCGCGGGAAATTTCCAGGACATCGCGGACAGACGGAAACGTGGCTCTGTGAGAGGCCGAGAGAGCAAGACCTTCTCTGTAAATAGAGTTAATATTGTAGTATTAATGTCGGGATTTCGCCACTGGGTTAGGGTTAAATGACAGTGGAGTTGCGCAAGCGAAGAACAAATATTGAACGGTCTGCAAACAAACGCCAGAATGCGTTACCATGCAGCGACAGGATTGCTGAACCTCAGGGTAGTACACCAACAACTACGGAAACCAGGATCACCGGGGAAGGTGTTGAGGTTTTGCCTCGCTCCCGGCCACGCGTGAGAACCCAACGCGAGGAAAGGGTTTGTCAGAGCGCTGGTGGGCCCCCCGCCGGAAAATTGCATCCTGGCGGGACCGACGAACCCATAGGCGTAAACACTCATGACGTTCGCAGCGACCCCGCGGGCAGTCTTCTCGCCGGGGCCCACTGTCTTCTTGGAGGACTCGCCGCCGAGCATGTTGGCCTGTGTTCGAGCAAAGACAGCAAGCCAATGTCTCCTGATGTAGTAAGGCGACGCGCACACTATATAGTACATGGGCGAGAAAACACAGGAACATGTACGATAGAAAATGTGGTTATCGCGTACAGGCAGGAAGTGTTTGTGCGCGAAGTTTGGGTGGCAAGGTTTGGTCAAATATCATATGGACCGGTGCGAGTAACGCGGACGCCTCCCGTGGGCACAGGGCAACCAGCCCCAGAAGCCGTACACACCTATTTATCAGCGAAGAGGAACATCAAATGCGAGATAAAATGGCGAAATGACAAATCGGGGGTTGAAATCGGCAAAAACAAACGAAGAGAAAACAGAATAGGCCTTCGTCCCAGCGCACGAGCGTCTGCGCGTCGGCTACGGGGCATCACGCGAGACCACGAGTATCGACCCCCGGCAATTCACGGGAGGGAGCTCTTTTGGCGGCGCCACCCAATCCGGGACCACAGTCGCTGGACCCTCCGCGCTCTTCAGAGAGGACCCGGCCGACAGGCACCCCTTCAGCGCTACCGGGGGCTTCACCGCGGCCGGCTTCATCGCGGCCGGCTTCACCCGACGCGGCTGTTCTGAGGGATACAAATAGTGTGGCTGACAGCATGGACGTCGATCCGCCCCAGCCCGGCGCGGTTGCGCCGTCTCAAGTTGTGAACGGGACTGTCACTTTCCACCCCCAGCAGCGAGCACCATTTATCGCGTGCATCTTCAAAAAAAAAATAAAGCGGCCGTGTTTGGTGTACAGCAGTAGATTGCTGGCCCATCGGTATAATAATGCTGGGGCTGTACCCTAGAGGCAAAACACACCTTACAAGACTAAATGTATCGTAGAAATGACTGGTACAACCCTGGTTGTGTCGACACCCTGGCAGAGGCTTCCTGCCCGTGGACCCTGTGGGGACCGATTACCTAGACAGGTGGTCACAGCGTTTTCTTTCGATCATTTTGTTTTCTTTTTCCGAGTGATTTGTACCCTATTTTTGTTTTTTTGTTTTCTAGCGGCGTCGTATGTGCCGGGTTTTGAGACCACGGGCTCCCCATTTTTTGTGGACTATAGAGCTAATGTGAGAAACAACAACAACAACAACAACAACAANAGTTCACAGCATCCGGTTTTCGGGTGTTCACCTGTGGCACGGACAAGGGTGGTACGCATGGCGTCGGAATCGCTGTGGAGGAGGCGCTGTGCAAGGCCTCCCAGTACACCACGGAGTACGTTGACGAGCGCCTCATGGCTATGAGGTTTGAGATGACGGGCCACCGCGGAGCGGTGAACTTCGTTGCTGAGTATGCCCCAACAGACGTCGCCACCGCCGACAGTATACACATGTTCTGGGAAAAACTTGACAGTCTCGTGCGGCGTATGACCGCTAAGGAGTGTCTTTTCGTGCTCATGGATGCCAATGCCCAGACCGGAGGAGGGATAGCCGGGGAAAACGAAGGAACCATGGGCGAGTAC